TGCTGAGGATCGAACCCGGGCCGCACGCATGCCAGGCGAGCGCGCCACCGCTGAGCCACATCTCCAGCCCCCAACATGGCCTTTTAAATTATAGTTTTTTTTCATGAATTAGAAAATTTATTTTTGATCTCTTCATATGACATAGCAACTAAGTATAATTGAAAATAATACTTTTTACTGGGTGTGGTTAGTCATGTTATATCCAGTCTGAATGTGTTACTCTGAGTGGATCTATACATATGTGCTTTTGTTACTATGAAGCTATACATATGTGTATTAATATACTTGATAGCTAAACTCTCTGTTGAATATTTCTATCATTAGTGCCTATAAGTTAATTACTTGCTTATCAGTTAAGTTAATTACTTGCTTATCAGTTATGAATACATTAAATAGGAACAGAAAACTTAACAGAGAGACTTAAATATATTGAGATTTTATTTTTGTCATGTAATAATAAGTCCAAGGGCTGGTAAATTCCAAATTGGGACAATGACCCAAGGATATTGTCAAAGACCCCTTCCTCCCTCTTCCTGCTCTGCTTTCTTCCTTAGGATTAAGATGACTCTGTCATAGGCCTCATATACTCATTCTGGGAAGAAAGAAGAAAGGTAATTCTATTAGGAAAGCTGAAGGTTTTTCAGAAAGCTGTTCTGTTACAATGTGCATAGGAGGCTGGGAAGTCATTTTTCAAGCAGGCACACTGGCATCCTGAACTCAGCGTTCCTTAGTGAGCAAGAGGGGCTACAGGTATTGAGGGGACGCCTTGAAGTGTCTGCTGTRTTCCATGGTTTTCACTCAGATTGAGTGGAGGATCATTTTCCTCATCATAAGATCAGTAACCAGCTGCCCAAAGTTTGGATCACTTACACTCTTCCCTCATTTGAAGAGCATCGAGTGCTCACCTCAGCGTTAACATTTCAGACCTGTCTGTGTGCTGTCCATCTTGAACTGTGGCCCAGTATACTTTTCCTCTCTAGGATGGTTCCACTTGAAAATGTGCTGATTGGTCCAAATATAGTTGAATTCAAAGCTAAGTGTGGTATCTTTGTTTTGACTTGTTGATTTAGTGAGGGTTGTCAGCATTTCCGMAAGGTAGAAATTTAAAGAATAATCCTAACTTTTAAAATTCCTTTATTTCCTAATCCATTTTCCTACCAACTGCAATTCCTAGCATTGAGACGTGTTGGCTTCGCCCCCCCCTCCAATTCCATTCTTCCTATTTTGGTCATAGTCATTTACACTCTAAACATCATCTCCCCCCCACACTTCTTCCTCCTCTTGAGGACTTACCCCAGGGAGATTTTACCACTGAGCCACACCTCCAGTTATTTTTATTTTTAATTTTGAGACTGGTTCTTGCTAAGTTGCCTCGCTGAGTTGCTGAGGCTGGCTTTGAACTTGCCATTCTCCTGCCTCTACCTCCTGCATTGCTAGGATTACAGGTGCCTTTGCACCTAGCTACTCTAACCTTCCTGACACCTGTTTTTGAAACATTTCATCCCACTTGAATACCAAATCCAAATTGCTTTCATCTTTTAGGAATTTTCTTTCATTAACAGAAGTATTCTTCTTATTCAGTCTTTATTTCTCCACATAAATTGAATGTCTTTATTTCTCCACATAAATCGAATGTCAGAGAGAGAATGTGCTCTCAGTGCCCTGCTTCCTCCTTGCAGTGAAGACTCACCCTGCACTCTCCTGTCAGAGACTCTGGTCCTGCTCTTCTCTTCTGAGATTCTTCATCCCACATCWGCCTCTTTTTACCTCATCATTCCAGAGCTCATCTTTCAGGGCATAGCTTCAAATTTCTTTCTTTTGGATTGCTGATGTATCTATTCTGTTTATCTATTGGTGTTTCTCATATATGGTTCAATTTCTTTACATTTCTCGACTTCCCTTTAGGAGCATTTTTCTGTCTGCTTTTCTCTTTGTTAATTGCCCTTCGTCTGGAGCCAGGCTGCTGTTTATTATGTAGAATGAACATAAGAGCCCCATCTGTCATTTTGCTTTGTAGCTGTTGTATGATATATCTGATTCATTCTTTTTTTTTTATTAGCTACACATGACATTACAATGATCTTGGCAGTTCATACATTTGAATCAATTGGGGTATAATTTCTCATTTTTCTGATTGTACAGATTGCAGAATCACATTAGTCATACAGTCACCTAAGTACATACAGCAATCATAATGTCTATTCTATTCTGAKTTATTCTTTTTTATGATTTGTTTTCTGTTTCATATAGATAATGTTCTTTTTAATATGTTTATTATGCTTAGTTCTTATCCCATTTGTTCTAGTATATATGTTGCCAAAATCTATACATGCTGTCCTGTTTGTTGATCTTTCAARGTAGCTATATTCCTGTGCCTATATATTTTCATATCTAGTCTAAATTATGCCTTTTGTTTAATATTTAAAGAACAGTTTGTTTACTTTTTTTTTAAGTTGTAGATGAACACACTGCATCTTTATTTATTTTTATGTGATGCTGAGGATCGAACCCAGTGCCTCACACATGTGACACAGGCTCTTTACTACTGAGCCATAGCCTCAGCCCCCTAAATTATATCTTGAAGGAACATGGCATAATGAAATTTACTTTGGAATCAAGTGTAGGTTTAAAACTTGATTTGGCCACCTACTAACTTTTTGAACAAGTTAACCTTTCTAAGCTACAATTTCTTTATCCATAAAATTTAAGTAATTGTGTGTGTGTGTGTGTGCCCATGTGTATGCTCATACATAAACCTTTTATAAAAGTACAACAAGGCAATGTTTGGTAAAATATAGTAGCATTTAGGATTAGGGTGTGTTGTATGAAAGCAGGAACTCAATATAATGGTGTCTTAAAGTTTATTTTTCTTTAACATAAAAGGAGTCCAGGGCTACTTTGGAAGCTTTATGTTTTTCTAGGATGCATGCTTTCTTTGTCTTTCTTTTCTACAGTTCTGATGCATGATTCCTATATTAAGATGACCACATAGTCCAAGGTGGCTGCTAGAGCTCCAGCTATCAGCAGAAGGAAGAAAGGAATAGGGGAAAAAAGGCATGATTTCCAGTCAGTTAACTTTATTTAGCCTTCCTGGAAGTCTCTCATCATCTTTCTGATTACAGTTTCATTGGCCAGTGCTTAGTCACATGATCACACCTTGCAAATGGAGGCTAGGAAATTTAATCTGTTCTGTCACTAACGAAGAGAAAAATAATAAATATTGAGTGGCTGCTGGCTGACTCAGTGTGGTGCCTGCCACATGGTGTGGCTTAAACCTTTTTTGGGGGCCTGTGACAGGGTAGATTTTCATTCCTTTGATAATTTCTCAGTTTCTCATATCTTAAAAAATTATCTTAGGAAGTGATAATCTAGCATTTTGTCTCTTTTTGATATATGTATTTAAAAATATTTTTTTCTTTACCTTGTGCTTTGAGATAACTTCCCCAAATTGAACCTAAATAGTAATGCATATTTCATATRTATATATGTAGGTTTGTCGTATACCTGTTCACTATGAATAGATAGACATAAATTTTCAAATGCTTTGTTTGAAAAATCCTAAGGGAATGATTTTCTGTGCATATTTAATTCACTAATTATTTTAATTTTTTTTTTCTTGGGTAAGGAAGCCCAGTAACTTGAAAAACAGTTTAGGTTATGTTTCTTCATTCATTGTGTTGTTTTGATCTCCTGATTATTTGTCTTTTTCTCTCCAACCGTGGATGAAAAGAGAGGGATAACTAGAGACACGAACTCTGCATGAAAGTAAAGAAAGAGTAATATTACTGGAAATTTCTTTTTACTTTGCTTAGCTGGACTTTATGTAAAAATAAGGTTTATATTATTAAAGTATTTTGGGATAGAAGAGTTTATATGGGTCCTTTTTATTGTACTTTAGAATTCACTAAATAGAATATTTTAAACATTTTCCATGCTTTGTCAAATTGATTCCCTCACAGGTATACGGTTCCCTAATTTATACATGAATCTGTAAAGACAGTACCATGTCATGTCTTATCACTACTACACTACTGTGTTCATGTAACCTAACATGTATGTGTTCTATATAAACACAGACACTGAGGGATAAAATGACAGTCTGTTGTGAATCTTTCTTGAAATAAAGTGAGTCATAAATTGAATTTAAGTTTATATATCATTCAGTTTTCATATTCAAAAAGAGTATGTAGGTAGATACACATGAATGTTATTGTATACAATGGTAGGTGGAGTATTAAGTGAGTGGGATTGAGGGGACCTATCAGCAAAGTAACCACACAGTGTGAATAAGAATGAGAATAGTTTTAATATTAACTAAGAATCATGACTTTATGGTACTTTTTAATGATTTTTTTTTTTTACTGGTATAGAGATAACATAGCACCATTTATTTAAAAAATCTAATATTTTCTTTTTAATTTGTTCTTTTTAGATATACATGACAGTAGAGTGAAAAAACTTAATATTTTCTTGTAGTTTGACTTTATTTGGTTTTGTTCTCATAGATATTTTCTCCCAGATGTCAGATTCCAATGGCTTAATGATATTTAGCAAGTTTGACCAGTTTCTGAAGGAAGTTCTGAAGCTCCCAACAGCTGTCTTTGAAGGGCCATCTTTTGGGTACACAGAACACTCAGTCCGCACCTGTTTTCCACAGCAGGTAAGGACAGATGGATAGACTCTAGGGCTAGCAGAGCTCTCTTCCATCCTACCACTTAGCAGGTTCTACCAGATCCTTCCCCCTAGGATGTCATCTYTTGTGTAGGGGAAGAGGAGCATCTTTGTGGGGGCAGGGGCAGGGGTGGKGTGAGTAAAGCAGGGGCAAAACCACCTGAGAACTCCTGTGGGGAAGGGGGTCTTTTCTGAAAAAAGGATCACATTTGTAATATTAAAAAAAAAAAGTTTAAAAAAGTGTTTATATTATTGCCACTGGACATTTGTTCTTTTCCATGTGGGTTCTTTAAACTGTGAAATGCAGGGATTTGACATAAAACTGTAGCAGGGCCAGAGATGGGAGAGCCATGCAGCTCTCAGCTGCCAGCACCCGCCTCTCAAGTGTGCTCCAATTTCTCATGACAGGAAGATGGATTTGACTTCCTCCTGAGGCCTTTGCCTAGACGTTGGGGTGAGTGCCTCAAAGGACTGGGGTTAGAATAGACACTAGTGAAGGCTCAGATTAGATAAAAGAAGCTTAAAACTACCTTAGACAGTTCTGGAAAGTGGGAAATTAATAAAAAAATACATGTTAAAACTAATGGTAAAAAAAGTTAATGGAAATAGGATATTGACATAGTGTGAAAGTATTAAGATACTTGCTAATTACCTAGAGAAACAKCGATTTTACAGGTGGATAAGCCTGTCAGACATCACTTTAACYAAGTGATCAGAATGCTTATCACCAGTGAAGAGATAAACTGCTTTCAGGATCTTTACAAAGTTCAACCCAAAACATAGCCTGAAGTGGGCCCAGCAMCTTGCGTTTTTGTCCACCAGGCCCCTGGGGTGAACTTGTGGGTCATGTGCACTTGGCTCTCCTCTCAGGGTGCTTCCTGGAGGCTGCATGTTGATCAAATCCTGGGAAGCTGCTCTTGAGTGAAATGGCATCAGAATGGAGAAGGGTGTTCACACACAGTGAAGGGCAGTGTCTGACAAGTGGGTGACAGTTATGGGGTAGTAACTCTAAAGTGCCCTTCAGTGTAAATTGTAATCTGAGTGCCATGAGGAGAATCCATGTTAATCCATGGAATAACAGTTTAAAATGTTAAAGACATTTAAAAAATTGTAATTGTTAATTCTGAGAGTGCTGTTCCAGATTCTGCAAGTTACCTCACAAAGGGTATGATTGTGAGGCCTTCCAACTCACACAGCCTGATTGTGCTTTCCACTTGCTTCAGATTCCTGTAAAAAAGCAATCTACATTTTGAAATATGCCAAATTTGGGGCTGGGGTTGTGGCTCAGTGGTAGAGTACTCGCCTTGCATGTGTGAGACCCTGGGTTAGATCCTCAGCACCACATAAGAACAAACAAAATAAAGATATTGTGCCCATGTATGACTAAAAAAATATATTTTTTTAAAAAAAGGAAATATGGCAAATTTGGAGAAGTCTAAGAAGCTCTTCTCCGTTTAGAGAAGCTTGAGTTTTCCTAACTTCTTGAAGATGTTTAAACAAAGCTTCTGAAGAAATATAAACTGTGGACAGAATGACCAAAAAATGAGACTGAATAAAGTTTGATGCAACAAGAATAAATTCACGGAATATTGGGTTTCTTTTTGAAAGTGGGCCTTTCCTGCACAGTTTGTTTCCTGCAGCGCTTCTTTCATGTGAGCTGGATCATATTGTTGCCAGACAGAGCCGAACCAAGACAAAGTGGAAGTTGCTTTGCTGGTTCTTACACAGTTTTCCTCAGCATGCTGATGTTCTGTGATGAACAGAGAAGTGACTACAATTAAAGAGAAAAAATAAATATTTTAAGAAAGAACTGGAAATCCTGTAGAGAAAGAAGTGATAGGTTAAGAGGATTCATGAACTGCTTCTCTTTCCACAGCTTTGTAACAACGAAGCTGCAGTGCAAGTGATAAATAATATGTCAAGGTACCCCTGCCATGCTAAAATAACTGATGAAATCAGCTGTCCCTGGGATCCAGTGTGTAGTTTTTGTAAGACTGATCTGTGTTGGAAATTGTATTGCCCTTATCATGAAGCAGGAAAATATCAGGATTTAAGGCTGAAAGGTGATACCTGAGGGTGACTCCTGGTGAAAGTACCTGCGGAGGTCTAATTGGCTGGTATCATTAGTGCATTATTATTGTTTGGTCTCTGTTTCCAGGAATATGTGTGTTGCATTGCTGTAGAAATGCTTTTTTAAAAAAATGAAATGAAGAGAATTACATATTGGCTTATTTTAATAGATTTTTGGTTTTGGTGTATTTTCTTGTTTGTTTTTATAGTGCTGGGGATTGAAACCAGGGCATCATGCATGCTAGGCAACCACTATACCACTGAACCATATTCCTAGTTCCATGTATCAGTTTAATTCATTTTTAAAATGTTTGTAGTTGGGTGCTGTGGAACATGCCTGTAATCCCAGTGATTCAGGAAGGTGAGACAGGAGGATCGTGAGTTCAAGACTAGCCTTAGCAATTTAGTGAGACCCAGTCTCAAAAGTAAAAAATGCAAAGGGGCTGGGGATGTGACTCAGTGATAAAGCACCCCTGTGTTCAATTCACAGTACCAAAACAAAAACCACATTTGTTCCTGTTTTTTATACCCAATAGAAGATGTATGGAGTTATGTGGTTTAGTTTTAAGGATAAAGCTTGACATGACTGCAGCCATCTTGAGTCATAACCACCACGACTGACCTAGAAACCCTGCATAGTTTCCCAACAAATCAAAAGTAGATAAAGCCACTAGAGCCATCTGAGGGACTTTATAATGGGACCATGGCTCCACAGATGTACTTGACTCATCAGTATTAAGATAAACCAGGTACATTCCAGATGGGTAAAATCACTTTTTTCCTAATCCATAAATATGCCCCTCCTTCTGACCCAAAATGTGGGGATTGGCTGGCCCAGTTGCCACCCAGGACTAAACTTCAGTAAGGCCCCCAGTAAATTGCACTCTGCATTCCTGCATCTGTCTGCCTCTCTTCCTTTGGTCTCACAGCACCTTGGGGCTAGTCCTCAGATACTGGGACCAAGTTTTCTGGAAAATTAGTAGTTTTTAAAATAAGAAAAGTTAAAGTATTTATGTTAGCTCAACAGAACCCACCCATTAGAATAGATAAAAATTAGTGACTGACACCAAATATTGATGAAGATTTGGAGCAACCAGACCTTGCATATAGACCACTTTGGGAGAAGCCCTGGTGATTTCTCATAAACCCAAACAGAACCTACCCATGACCTAGACCTTCTGCTCCAAGGTTTTTGCCAAGTGAAATGAAAACATGTCCTCAGAAGGATTTTTACAAGAATACTCTTACCAACCTTATCCGTAATACCCCCAAATTGGAGCCATCCTCGGTATCTATCATGATAAAATGTTTATGAGATAATGTKACTGGGATTAATTTTAAGATAATGGAGGTAGAAGGAGTTTGAAAGCATAGATAAAACAGAATTAGTTGTATGTTGAGAATTGTTGAAGCTGGATAATAGGCATACTATACCATTCTCTTTACTGTGGTAGATTTAAAAAATTTAATAATAGAAAAATTAATTCCATTTGCACATTCATATGGTGCTTATTGTCTGAACATTGCAATATTAATGTAGCACTCCAAGCGTAATACTTGGGTAAATAGATCAAATATATTAAGATTTTTTTCAGTGTCTTTGAGTTAAAAGATGGACTTTAAAGGTTTAAAAGTTATCAAAAATAAACAGTATGGGCTGGGTTCCTAGCTCAGTGGTCGAGTGCTTGCCTAGCATGTGTGAGGCACTGGGTTTGCTTCTCAGTACCACATATAAATAAATAAAATAAAGGTCCATTTGACAACTAAAAAAAAAAAATTTAAAAAAATAAACAGTAARCATATTTAAATTTCTCCCATATTTYCCCCAACCTTCAGAATTTTAGGGAAGGGTTGTATTTCTCCTTTGAAGACTGTTTTACTACTTGTGTTTTAGTTCTTCATCTGACTTTAATTTGAAGAGTTCCACATGCCCTCCAGGGGTTTTAGGTTCGTTCACTGCTCTCTGCCTGAAAGAGAAACCTGAGCAGAGTGGAGCGGGTAGAGTGACAGGGAAGTAGGTGCAGTCTTGCAGGGTGACACTGTATTGGACGCTGTGCCACACTCTTCTTGATTCACAGAGGAAGTGGGAAGAGGTAGAAATGGGATTATATAATTGCTGGTTGATTTTCAGAAAAACAAGACTATTTTATATCTGGAAATATCTTCTGATTACAGTTTGACCAACCTGTTCTCTTTGGCTATGTGCCAAAATAACTTTTGTTCTCACTTTGAGACATTTTCTGGATGTCCTCACTTTGCTTCTCTGGACATTGAAGAAAGTTTGGTAGGAATTCCCTGGCATGAATATGTGGGTATCTGTGTTATTTCACAGGTATTCTAATTAAGGAGCTTTTTTAAGCATTCATTAGTGACCCTTCATCTTCCAGTAAACTGATGTGGACTAGTCCCACTGGTTTCAGTGATTCAGAGGCAGGTTTGAGATACCCCATGTAGCYAGTGGCATCATAAGTGGCACTTGGTAGGCAGTGGTCTGACAGGTTGTCATTTCCTGCATATGTGTGAAGTTGATCATAGCCAATCAGATTGTCACTTCATCTGAGTCAAGTCCATTTTTAATATGTGTTGTCATTTCACATGTTCTTAAGAATATACTGTGATCTGGCAATAAAAAATAGTTTGTGTGTGTGCTGGGATTGTGGCTCAGCGGTAGCGCACTCGCCTAGCATGGGGAGRACCCGGGTTCGATCCTCAGCACCACATAAAAATAAAGGCATTGTGTTGTGTCCATCTACACCTAATAAAATAAATATTTAAAAAAAATAGTTTGTGTAAACACAGAAAGGAATGAACATGGAGCAGAGGAGAATATATTTGGTGTTGGTCAAACACATATTCGTCATTAGAGGAATTTCATATTTTCTTGCAAAGCAACAGCAGGTGTTTCCAGATCTTTTTTAA